ATATTTTGTGTGACATGGAACCAGCACATGAGTACAGTGCTATCAGGTATCTCGTTTGTGCACGCGTTGTACTGAGCTTTGTCAGCATCCATCATTACAAAGTCAGACAAAAATTGCACGTCGAATAATTCCAGAATCACACGCTTTAAAAACGCCAAATACCATGCAACATCTTCATGGCGCCGTTGTGATGTACAACAGTATAGAATAGGCAAGAAGCTTCCAGCACGATCTGAAATTTCGGCAACAGAAACAGGATATTTTTTTTGCTTCACGCAGTCGTATGTAGTGTCTAGATGTATAATAGTAGAAAGTGATGGGTTTTGCTGTACATCGACATAGCGCTCCAATAGTCTTGCGCATGATAATCCAATACGAAACGGATTGCCTAACGCACCCGTACCAAGGGCTGGCTCAACTACACCACCCACCATTTAGTATCACAAAAACCTAGCAGAGAATCTGGATCTTGATCCCAAACTCTACGCGAATCTTCACAATCGTACATGCATAAATCGTTAGAACCGGATCCATGGAGTCGGGTCGATTCTTGCGCCGCCAGCCTTTTGGTAGTTCTGTACCTGAGCGAGCTCGGGAGATGGACCACCAATTCGCCCGTCTCTTATCTCACGACATAGAAACGAGTACAAAACTTGGGCAACCATTGAAGGGGTATCTTCAAGTTTAGAGTCCAGGTAGACTTTCATTTCACCAGTTAGCCTAGCTGTTGTAGTAATTGGTGGCGCATCGTCAGCCATAGTATCTTTACCTTGCACAAACACAATCTTGCCATCACTTTCCTGGCATTCTAATATTTTGTATCGGCAGTGACAGGTTTCCCCAGCGGCCTTGCATCGCTTTGATTTGCACTTGGTGACTATGCACCGCATCTCGTGCCACGTAGATGTCAGATTGTCCTCGTAGTGGGCAATGTGGTATACTCGACAATGATGTAGCTCACTAGTCGGACGGGAAAACGGTGGTAAGACAGCTAAGAAATCGTCATACGAAATAGTGCCTCCAGAACTCCACACTTTATGCCATGGAAGGCGTCCAGCGCGCCCGCTCTGTTCAACCTCCATGCATGTGCTGAAAACGAAGGCTTAAGTAGTTACTTTCTACTACTGTAGTGCTGCAACTGCTACGCTCTTTTAAGGTTGTGGTGAAGCCATATCTATTTGTGGTTATGCCAGTGTATTTTGTGAAACCTCTCTTATTTTTGAGAGTGGATCCTGTCCCCGACTGGCAGGTCTTGGTTTTAGCATTCCCTGAATTTTGCACAAAACTAAATTTCGCAAACGATCCATGTATACATACACGCTCTGTATACATTTTTATTTTAAAATATTAACGACTGGCTGTCATT